TATATATATATATATATATATATATATATACAATTAGACTGAGAAATAATGTCTTTATTAAGTGTTAGAGAAACTAGTACACCACTGTGTATTATCTCTGTAATGATTCAAGTTGCTATCACCTTTCATGCAGTAATTGCATTTCTTCTCAGCTGAACAGTGGGGTGTTTGCTCTGGTGTAAAGTTAAAGCTTGCAGTTTGCATTTGATTTGCTATATTAAAAACACAGACCCCCGCTGTTGCAAATCAAACATCACTAACCAGTGTTGCTTTCAGTTTTTTTTTTTAAAGATCTTTCCTGAATGAGTGCGCTGCTTTATTTTCTCCTTTTTAATTCAAATAACGTTTTTTTTTTTTTTTTTAGACTTTGTTTGTTTGTTTTTTTAGACGGGGTATATTTGCATGTATAAAATGCTCTCTGCCACTGTTTACTGGACCCCTCCCTCTAAATACCAACAGAATACAGATATATCTCCAAACTGCTCACCTGGCTGGGAGCAGCAGCGGCGTTAGCTGCGTCTGAGTCGGTGTTTACCGTGGTGCTGCCTCGGCTCCGAAGCGGCTAACTTGGCTTTCCATTCTCTCCACTATGGTGACAAAAACGACTCATTCTTCACAGCTCCATCGAGCTGCCGCTGAATATTGAAATCCGAAGCAAAGAAAAAAGCCGGCATCTTTTAGTTCACGGCTTGTTTGTATCTTCCTTCACTTCCGTGTTGCAGCGAGTTTCAAACGTTGCACCTTCATTTTTCTTTTCTCTTCACTGCTCCGGCTGTCGACGCCCTCGGCCAATCAGTGAACAGTAGCGAAGCTTGCGTCACCCACCAAACCAGGGCCGGCCCGGCTGGCCCTGCTCCGAAGTAGGACCCTAAAAACAGGGCCAGCCCCGTAAAAAAGCCGGTGGAAACACTCGAAAAGCGAGCGTAGCCGAGTCGAGCTGGTGGAAAAGGGGCATAAATCTTTGACTCATTCAAGCTTGGTCCCAACCTCAAGGTGTCTGACGTAAAAAGCGGATAACCCTTTAGCCTCTGCATAGGGGCGCCCAGCTAGCGGGGGCGCCAAAGCGATGGAGGAAATGTAATTCTCAGTCAGCTGTCTGTGAATGTGTAAATGAATTTATCACTGCATAGTGTGATATATATTACACAATATTTCTTTTGATTCTGATCCAGTGCAAAACCTAAGGTAGAACCCGAACCCGGAATCCCCCCGGAGGGCTCAGGAAGTGCACACAGTGAGAGGAGCACGTGCTGGACATGCTGCCTTTCGTTCCCGTGTTTCGCCCTGGCGTGCGGGTGACAGTCTGAATGGGCTGCTGAAGGGATGCCAACAGATCTGAAAAATCCCCCCTGACACATAATTTAATGTCATATTACAGCTGAGCGACAGGCAGAAACGCGTTGGCACCGGTCGCGAAGCGGAGCTAACGAGCTTTGGCATGCAATTGTGCGCACTTAGATGTTAATGTCCAGAAGCCATGCTTGTGTGCGTCTCGCCGCGGGAGTGTTTCGGTGCGTGTGACGTTTGTGACTCAGATGAAAATCCTATTAGATCTCTAGCTCTCCCCCACCTCTATATTTACCTCCCTCCCTCTCTCTCTCTCTCTCTCTTTCAGATTAACCTGGGTGTTTACAGTGTTTGGCTGCCTCTGTGGATCAGTAAGCGTGTTTTCCAGCCTGCAACCCGGGGTTCACTAGAACCAGCATCAAACCGCGGCGACTTACTTTCTCGGCTCATTTCCTCGCCTCTCTGTCGCATGCTGGCTTTTAAATCACCCTGATAGTCGGGCCCAAAAGATTCAGTGTTGTGCTTTAAAGGTTTAATGCGCAGACATTTCTGTGAAAGGGGTGAGGAGGTGGGGGAGGGGGGAGTTGAAACCGGGTCATTAGTCTCACTCGACGCTTGTTTCAAACCTATCTAACTCCATTTTACATTTTCCCACAGTGTTTCTTTCTACCCCACTGTGCATGTCCGTCCTCGCTTTGCAATCCAATTTGTCCTCCTCTCCTTTATCCTTCCTCTCCTCCCCTCCCTTCTTCATTTGAAGTAATAAGATTTCTGCTGTTCAGCGGAGAGTTTTAGAAACACACACACACACACACACACATTGAAAAGCAACCTCTACCCCTCAATTACTGCGGTGCCACACCTCCAGCTATCTCTAATCTCCTTCGGTGGACCTCGGAGTCCAGGCTGAAACAAATTACAGAGCGGGGCGAGGAGGCAGCGAAAGGTGTCACTAAAAATAACAAACTTCACAGGATTCAAAAAGAAAAAAAAAGAAAGAAAGGAAGGAAGAAGAATGAAAACTGATCGAATCAAAACGAGGACGTTTTGACGGAGGTGGAGGGAAGCGGCGGATTTATTTCTCGTAGGAGTGTGAGGAGTTTCAAGGTAAGGTGAGTTATTTCGTGCAGATTTGGCTTCCGGGACCCGCGCGCAGATTGATGCGCTATTAAATTAGCAGCTGACAAAATGAAGCTCAGCGTAGATCAGGCAACATCGATCGGCTTCCAAAAAAAAAAAAAAAAAAGCTGGACCTAATAGTTGGGGAAATTGCTTTTTTTCTTCCAGTTTTACAATTACAGCAAATCGTCATTCTGCAGGCAGGTGAGGTGCGATGCTGCTCAGATTTCAAACGTAACTCTCCCCATTCACGTCGGTCCTGTGCGCCTCCAGTCCAATATCTCTAACGGATTTGGCGCAGCTCAGTGCCAGAGAGCCAAATCTAATTTGTGCAGTTATCACTGTCAATTCCCGCCCTGCAGAAACACAGGCTGGATCAGACACATCAAGTTTTTCTCTTTTCTTTTTTTCTTTTTTTAAATGGTTAAAGCTGAACTTTATTTTTGTTACTGATTTTTAATTATTCTGAAATTTAGGTGCTTTTAGTTATCATATGTTAATCCCCCCCCCCCCACACACACAAAGCTTTTACTTTAATAAGTAACTCGGTTAGCCAGTGAGACAGCAGAACAGTTGTAGGTCACATGAGGGGAAAACTCGCCCTGAGGGTAAGAAGTGTCTCTTTCTGGTCTCTGATGACCTCAAATGATCCAAAAAACAAAACGCCAATCAATGAAATCCACAGTTTTAAAGTTAAATTTCAAATTGAACACAAAGCACAGCCTAAAAAAAGACTCTTCTGACGTAAATAGTTCAAATCAAACCTCTAAAAGCAAGAAGGAAAAACTCAGAATGGTGTTGAACAAGGAGGAGCGCCAATATTTACCCACAGAAAGGATGATTATTGAACTTCCCCATCTTCCTGATCTCATGTTGCCGCTGTTCTTAATTCCTCCCTAACCAAGCTGCGCATCATGTTTTCTTAGTTTTCAAATCCCTCAGAGTTAAAGTCAAGATTTAAGTTTCATCTTGTGAACTGGTGTATCAAGATGAAAGCTGCAGTCGTGAAATGTCTCCGTACTGTTCATAATGTTTTTCTCATTTAGTAACATCATAACTATAAACTTACGCGTCTCATTTTATATGACAGACCTGCCAAATAGCTCATTTAGAGCCGCATGACAGCTGCTGGAGCGTGTGGCTGCAATGTAACCAAATGGAGAGACATTTAAAGGTATATTGACACATTTTTAGGGAGGGCTTCCCCATCGCTGCCCGCCAACATGGTGGACCTGTTCCTAGACCGAGTTCTTGTGGAGAACAACTCGGACCAGGACGAGTTCAACACGGAGCGCGAGATCATCGGGATCCTGGAGAACCGAGTCCTGCTGCTCTTCTTTGCGACGGCCGAGTGTGAGAAGTGCCAGAGGTTTGTGCCCGTCCTCAACAGCTTCTTCAGGAAGCTGAAAGATCCAGCGTACATCGAATACCCCAAACTGCTCGCTCTCATCTATGTCAGGTCTGCGTCTTCGTCTCTCTGATGGTTTTTTTTTTTAGCTCCTTCCTCCACACTGGTGACTCTCTGACATGATTTCTATCTTTCTTCTTCAGCTTGGACCAATCTGAGGAGCAGCAGAAAAAAATCCTCAAAGAGCTCCACAAAAGGACTTTATTTTTGGCGTTTGACGACCCGTACAGAAAGTAGGTGACTCATGTTTTTTTTATACACGCGTATATATATAAATGCTTAAAAAAGATTAGTTTTAATAAGTTTTGTGTTCTCTCTTGTGGCGTAGGGAGCTCCAGGCCATGTTTATGGTGAAGGATGTCCCAGCGGTGGTGGTCCTGCGCCCCGACGGCTCCGTCCTCTCTCCGAACGCCGTGCGGGACATCTGCCGCCTTGGCACCGACTGCTTCCGCAACTGGCAGGAGTCGGCGGAGCTGGTGGAGAGGACCTTCATGCTCAACGAGGAGTTTGACGACCCCAACCTGCGGAGCGCCACCGACCCCGTGAGGAGGCTCAAGTACAAGACCGAAGACGACAAGAGGAACAAGAGATGGTGGAAGCTTTGGGTGAAGGGAAAGGACGGAAACGGCGAGGAGGAAAAAGACGAAGCATGGGACATGAAGAGAAAGAGTGGAGATGGAGGAATTTGGCGAAAGAGATGAAAGAGTTTTTGGTTTTTTTATGATATAGCCTAACTTTTTTTCTTGTTTTTTGCTCTCTTCAATCTAATTCTGTTCACCTAAAAACGAACCACACCTGTTGTTGCTGCTGACCCAACACTGTTTTCAAAACATCTGATATTATAGTTTATACATTATATATTTAAGAAAAAAATTTAATGGTCTATATATGTTTTTTATTATAGATAAAATACTCAGAACTGTACAAAGAAATTTGTTGAATTACATAATTTTTTTTTCTTGGTTTTCTAGATAAAAATGTCTGCAAAAAAAGAAATAAAATACCAAAGATAAGAAACTAAAAAGTATTCACTTTACAATAAAACATTTTTGAAAAATGTTGCTTAATTCTGTGAAACAAAACAGAGATAAAACTCTTTCGCCTTGTAGATACCAACATTATTTCTACACCAAGCAGAGGAATAAAACTCATACCAGTAAACAAAAACAATTTAATTTTCTATTTTTGACCTAATGTTAGCACTACGGCTAACATTAGCCATAGTGCTAATGTTAGCCGTAGCAGCTCCAACCACAAAAACAGCTCCTCAAACCACAACCACAGCTGCTCCAACCACCTCTGGATCAGTGATGTGCGGTCAGGGGAGAACTCTCCTGTAATCCTGAAAAGTAAAATAGATGCTAATAATGATGAGAGAACATCAAATTTTTTGTATAAATTAGTTTTTTTATTTGTAATGTCAAGAACATCGATTTTTTTTATGGCTAAAAAAAATTATATAACTTTAGATATAATGTTAGCATTATATCTAAAGTTATAATGCTAACATAGTGCTCAGCTCTGCTATAGCTAAGTTAGCTACTATAGGAGCTATGCTAGCTAGCTCAGCAGTAGCTAGCTCAGCTATAGTAGCTATAGTAGCTAGCTCAGCTGCAGTAGCTATAGTAGCTAGCTCAGCTATAGTAGCTATAGTAGCTAGCTCAGCTAAGTTCAAAGCATATTTGTGGGAATGTTCATTTATTTTGGGCAATATAACCATGGAATGTGTGTCCAACAGTTTTCAAGTTTGCTGTTGCTGATGTTGCTTTAGAAAGCTGTAAAAGTAACTCTTGGACTTAAGTAAAGTAAATATTCATTTATTAAAATGTTGTTTATAAAAAACCCCTGAATAATTTAGTTTTATGTCTGTGTGATTGAACCCACACATTTCACTTAGAGCTTTTAGGATTCATTTTTGCTGTCAGATTCAATAAATAAGAACAATATTGAAAATTGTATCTATTTATGGAACTCAGTTCATCAAATGGAAGCAGCCTTTCAAGATTAATTACTGTCAGACTCATGTATTAGCCTTTATTTCTGTTTAAGGTAATATTCCACTTCCAGCCAACGAAAACACACTTATGAATATGATATCAGATCAGATCAATAAAATCATTAATACAGAACTGTGGGACTGTACAAATCCCTAAACAATAAACATCTTGTTGCTCACTTCATTAAAGTCTCATTTTAAAACATTTCCATCATATCTCTGTGTTCAGACAGCTCAGTCTCTGGAAAGACTGTGAGCACTTCATGTCCCCCAGCTCCTCTGGTCACCTTGTCTTTATGTCCCTCCTGTAAGCAGACAGAGGACGGGGGCGGAGCCTCCAGGGCTGAAAGCCAAGACTTAGCCAGCAGCTGGTAGCAGCACCGAGATGAACAAGGTGAAGTCAGAGGGAGACTCTGACTAACAGGCTGGGACCTGCTTCTAGAGGCGTCCAGAGAGAGAAAGTTTGGAGGAAAAACAAAGCCAGATGTGAATGTTGTTCTGTGTCGGATCTGCTGCCTGGAGGGGAGATAATACAGGTGAGCAACTGTGAGGATTATCTGATTTACCAGCAAGTGAGATTACATATGTGAATAATGCATGTCTGTAAGTAGGGCTGACTGGAAATAGGAAATGACACTCAAAACAAAGTGGTTTTCACCCAGTGAGGAAAATTTCTTGAGTTTAGATTTATATCAAGAATTTAATATATATATATTTTTATAGATCACCATTTCTTTTTGGTTCGCTGCAAAAATATCATCCTGCTATTAAAAGAAGTGAATGAAATGCTAAAGTGTGTGTGTATGGGGGGGGGGTTCTACTGAAACCTATGCACCACTTCAAAGTAATGTGTTTTATTTTTTTTATCTAAAGTTGAATTTACAGTTACTACTCTGCTAAAAACACAAAACCTTAGCAAGTATTTGTGTTCTAGTTGTTAGTGCAAATATATTTGTGCACTTGAAATAAGACAAAACTAATTCACAAGTAACTTTTCAGCAAGACAGGCACTTGTTTTAAGCCAAAAATTATTTAATTTTTATTTAAAAAGTAAGTAGTTATAAGTGAAAAGATCACGTTATAATATGTGAAAAATATCTTGTTCCGCTAGCAGATCACTTCATTTACGAATAGTACCTTTTCATGAATATTAAAGAAATATTATATTATTATTTATAGTATTCTAGTCTTGTTCCACTTTCTCATCAATATTAAGAAATGATTTACTTAAAACAAGCTTTTATATTTTGCTGAAAGGTTACTGTAAGGTTATTTCGTCTTAGATATTTTCAGTAGAAACTGGACCAAAAATACTTGGTAAGGTTTTGTGTTTTTACAGTGTAGGTACTATATTGACCCTTTTATTTATTTATTTATTTAATTTTTTTATTTTTTATTTTTAGAAAAATTGTCAGCTCTTCTGCTTGTTTGGATTTTTGGATTGGATTGTTTGCATCACCGCTAACGACAGCAGCGCCCACAGCAGGGTTCCTCTTCCTCTCTCCTCTTCCTCGCCCAGCGACGCCTCATCATGGTGGACCTGTTTGTTGACCGGGTTCTTGTGAAGAACAACAAGGACCAGGACGAGCTGGACACGGAGCGCGAGATCGTCACGCGTCTGCAGAACCGCCTCCTGATGCTCTTCTTTGCCTCTGCTGAGTCCGAGACGTGCCAGCGGTTCGCTCCCACGCTGCACGACTTCTTCAAGCAGCTGACCGATGAGTTCTACGTGGAGCGCTCCGCCCAGCTGGTGCTGCTCTACATCAGGTGCTCCGCTCGGCGCTCCTTTCCTCCGTCCAGCGTCGCTCTTGCTCGCAAATGCGGGGTTGCTTTCCTGGAGTTTCTGCACCCGAAAATCTTGCGCTTCTTAAATTGGGATATGTGCGCCTATACGGAAGCCCTGTGGTTGACAGTTCTCATTGTATTTATTGATGATTCTGACTGTCCATTCGGACACTTACATAAAGTTACATATACATTTTTGTACTTCAGACGAACCTTTTGCATGATTGAACTAGCTTTGTACTTTTTTCTTTTTGGTAACACTTTATTTGAAGGGGTGTGCACAAGACTGACTTGACGCTGTCATAAACATGACATCTGTTATGAACATGAAGTAGTCTTCATAGATGTTTATGACTGTCGTCATTTGGTAAATAACGACACTTAATGCAAAGTTGCACTAAAAGTTGCATTAAAAGTCCCTTGAAAGAGTCAACTTTGCATTAAAAATGTCATTATTTACCAAATGACACTTCATGACAACAGTAATAACCATTGGTGAAAACTCCTTCATGTTCACAACAGGTGTTACATGACAGCATTATGTCAGTCTTCACCCCTTCAAATAAAGTTACCTTTTTTTAAAAAACAACAACAAAAAAACAACCTTTTTTAATGTGTCTGCATGTAGATTCTGCAGTGGCAGGGTTCTTATTTAATTTAGGTCAAGATGACTCCTTATTGTCCAGTTTTAAATACTTACTGTTTCAGAGTGTCTGAACTAGCATTTAAATAAATTAAGACCTTAAACGCAGCTTCTGCAACCTTAAGTGCTGTGTTGTCTTTAAAAGTTTTTTTATTTACCCCAGTGAACATGATTTCTTCTGCACATTTTATTCAATTATTCAAATATTTGTTTCTAGTGTCGTTATAAATAATCATCCCAGTAGCTTTGCCAAGCATTGTGCACGTATTTACAACAATTTCTGCACAAAGTTGTTGTATTCACCAGATTCAAGTATACATTATTACAACAACAGAAAGACACATGTAAAGCGCTTGTTATTATTCATTTTAATGGTTTTGGCGTAAAGCTAATCAAAACACAAAAACCTAAGTCCTACTTTATAACAGAGAAGGAGAAGAAGAATGCTAACTTTACAGTTCAGCAGATCAAGACCCTCCAAAGTGTCGGCTGTAAAAGGTCGTTGCTTAATTAGGTTGATCACATGACGTTGTGTCAAAGGTCACTGTTGAAGCAACCAGTTGATCATCTCTGTGCCACTTTGCATTGATGCAGTAATTCGTGCTACATATTGAGTGCATTCATGCGTTGCACTAAACTGGTATTTCTCTATTAAAATCACTGATTTGTTGATTTCATATAAAACACCAATTTGCCGAGACACAAAATTTTGGCCACATTTATCTGAATTAACATCCTGAAACATGTGGAACACTGTAAAGACAAATCTATATCTTATATGAGTGTCAAATTTTGAATCACAATAGTCAAATCAATTATCTTGTCATCGATTTTCATAGTTAGTAAAACACAACTGTACGTTTGAATGCAATTTATAGGGAAAGTTATGTAACAATCAATTTTTCCCCCAATCCTTTTAATCCCCGCCAGTCTGGATCAGTCAGAGGAGGAGCTAGAAAACTTCCTGAAAGAGCTGCCGAAGAAGTCCCTGTTCCTTGCATACGAGGATCCGTACAGAAGGTGCGTGGTGGTGAATATGTTCACGAGATGAATTCACAAAGTCATCACGCGTCATGTATGCCCGCAGGGAGCTGGAGACCATGTTCGACGTGAGAGAGGTTCCCACCGTGGTGGTCCTGCGTCCCGACTGCTCCGTCCTCATCCCCAACGCGGTGGAGGAGATAACCCGCATGGGTCCGGACTGCTACCGCAACTGGCACGAGGCGGCTGAGCTCATCGACAGAAACTTCCTCAACAAGGAGGACTTTGAGGACAAGTCCATGCGCAGCTTCAGCGACCCCGTCAGACGACTCAAGTACAAGGTGGAGGAGGAGGAGAAGAAGAAGAAGGAGAAGAAGAAGAAGAAGAAGAAGCAGCGCCGAGGCTGGGGTGCAGGAGGCGACGAGGGCGAGGAAGCCGGAGTTGGCAGAGCAGATGATAAGGACGGTGGAGGGTCGATGTGGTGATGGAGAGAACGATGCTGTCAATTTGTCCCAAAGTTGCTGTTTTGTTAGAGTTTGCTGTATGGCAAATTTCATAATAAATATGTTGATTATGGCATTTTTAAAATGTTTTTTATTATTATTACATACTAGGTGAGGGGAAAAAACCTCTTCATGTTTTCAAAATTGGAGCAAAACGAGAAATATTGGGATTTTACGCAACAGATAAGGTAACACATAATTGTCAACAGGAACGGAAGTGATGGATATAATTACTTTTAATATACTAAAAATCATCTGAAAATTGTGGAATGCATGTTTGTTTACACCCCTTTTGTCCGACACCCCAAAATTAAACTCCAAACATCTTTACAAGTCACATTTTAGTATATACAGTAGACCTGTGCGCAATTTGACGATGAAATTTAGCAAATGTGCTAATTCTTTCATATACACACTGCCACGAATTGTGCTAATGTGGATTAATGCATGCTGTCTTAATCAAATTAATTAAATAAATACACAAATAACAAACTTAATCTCGCAAGATTCAAGTTTTACTGCAAGACTAATGTTTAGAGACTGCAGCTGTTCTAAGAACGCTTCGCAGGTTTGCTAGTGAACATCACACAACAAACATCGTCATAAAGATTAAGAAACACAGTAGACCGAGCAAAGAATGAAGATGTAGAGAGGATTAAAGCAGAGCTAGGTTATAAAATGAAACTCCAGGCTTTGGACATCGCTCATAGCAGTGTTTGATCCACTGTAAAAACACAAACTTTCCAAGTCACGATCATCCATCTAAAGTGAAAGGATGGAGCAAACAGGGACATTTCATGTGGAAGTGGCTGCTCTGTCTGACGAGAAAACGTGAAAAATGTTACGTGTGGCGTAAAGCAAAATTACCCAGAACGCACCTTCCTCACCTTGAAACATGTTGATGCTCACGTGTTTGGTAACCTCTGACGAAGGCCAGGGCTAAAACCTCTGCATCAATGATCTCAAACACTCTTCATCGGACCGAGTTAAGAGGACAAATTGTCGGTTTTTATAAATTGGATGGAGTTCAAGGTGTGTGAACAGTTTTGCAAGGCAACTCCATGCAATGTAGCTCTTCTTTCTGAAAGGCCACTGAAAGCTGCCCCTTCTCTTTGCCGTGTTTGTTTGGAATCGCCTCGGTCTGACGTGCGAAGTTTGCAGTCAAGCACAGGTTTGGTGTGAGCCACGAGGAGTCCTCATCCTTGCGGCTTGTTTTTATCACACCCAGGGGGGATGACTGAAAGCCTTTCCTCCACTTTCAACAACACCAACGCTCGGCGAAGATGTAGTTCTCCCGTGTTGCGTACCGCCCAATCAAAGCTCGCCTTGCACAATTTGATAACCGATGAATAATTCAGCAGGATTAAAATAATTTCTAGAGACTGTTTTGTTTTTGAGTGCTCGTGAAGCCTGGCTGTACTTTATAGTCGGCATAAGCAGTAATCAGAGCCATTCAAAGAGAGTCAAGTGAAAATGGGGAAACTAGCTCAACAACATAATCAGTGATTTCCTTTCAATATGCCGAGGTCTGTGTTTGGTCCCTGCACATTTCCCCTCACTTGTATGCTGCTTTGATGATGCTTTTGTGCCATCAGCTAGGATTCCAAGTTAGGAGCCGTTTTCTCAAAGGAAAACGAAGGAACCTGGTTTTCTTCCTTTATCCTTAGTGTCCCATTACTTCAACACATGCTGTCGATGCTTCTGAGCACAATTTTTAATTGGATTTTTATTTCAAAATTTCATTTTTTTTTCATGCTCAAATATTTAGGTCTCCTGTTCAATTTCAGACCTGTTTATAAGACATAAAGAAAAAAAAAAACAGTTCAACATGTATCTACAGCCAAAACGCTCTACAACCACTGGGGTTTATATTTATAAACTCCAAATGCCGTAAGAAAACGTCAGGGACTACAAATCCCAGCGCTCACCCTTGTTCTGTTTAATTACTACTGTTGATGGGAAGAGCGGCCATACTGAAACACAAAGTCAGACTTACCAGTTATAACTGGGAGGAGGGGAGAGCAGAATTTCCCAGTTCCGACTACAACTGGGAACGCACCATAACACCGACTCAAAACTGCATAAAAGAAAGATGAACACGGTGGTCCACTGTATTAAAAAGAAGATTACAAAATACAATTACCCGACTATTAGCTACTTAGTTCAATCACTTGAGTAATGTTTGGTTAGAAAAAATACACGTGTACTTTACGGCCTGTCTACCATATAAAAAGAAAACAAAACATGTAGGGCTGAAACGATTCCTCAAATGATTTGAGTACCTCAGTTACTAAAATTCCTCGAGGAAAATGTATCTGCCTCGAAGACTCATAAAATTATGCTTTATTATTTAGCGCGCCGTGTTCCGGCCGGACCATTATTTGTGTTGTGCAGCGCGCTCACTTCCGCCTATGAGTTGTTGCTATGTGCTAGCAGCACAACGGCGAAGTTTCCGGGTTTGCGTCTTTTTTGGGAGGGACTAATAAGCATTTTTAAATTTACTAATTTTATTGATGTTATGTTACTTTTCTCCTCTCGGAACTGCGCGGTCGGTCACCATTTGAAGGCGAACAGCTGGAAGGGCGCCGCCGGCTTTATCTATGGAGAGAGAGATAGGTGTTTTCCGATTACTCAATTAATCGTAAAAATAATCGATAGCGTACTCTAAAATATTCTTTTACAACAGCCCTAAAAAACATGGTAAGCATGTTGCATTCAAAACATGGTTGTAATAACACTCTTTATGGTTACATATATGTTTTCCACTCTTCTTCCACTTCCGCATGTAAGGGAAAATACTAAATTCAAACGCTACGAAAGCACAGACAGGAAGAACCAGTGAAGAACACCGGAACAGCTGAAAGTGCATCTGATGATGGAAGCGGAGGATCATCAGGTGTCATTAGCAGCTGATCATCTTTTATCGGAGTGATACGATGACGGACAGATTGGCTAATATGTCTTGTTTCGAAGGAGAGCTGCACGATTTCCATGGAAATATTGTAAATACCCAGTGCTGGCTGGCTGGACGTCTGTTCATGCTGGCTGGCTGTTCATGCAGCAAACACAATAGCACCCATTCCTCCATGGCAGAGCTGTAACATGCACTCGGAACTGGTCAAGAGGATACAGATGCTGAAGCGAACGCGCATATTCCTTTGCTTTTGCCAACACAGCAGCTTATTGTTGCTCACTCAGACAAACCTTGACAATATATCTGAATTCCACCCACCCACCGACCATCAAAACACACACACACACACACACACACACCCTCCCGCTCTTCTCTGCCTCTGTTCACGCTCACACGCACGAGCACACATAGAAAGCAGAGACGCGTTGCGCGCTCTCGAGCGCAGAACGCGCAACAAGCGGGACCAGCGGATGGAGAGAGAGAGAGAGAGAAGAGAAGAGAGAGGATAGAGAGGAGGACGGATGCAAGGCGAGGCCAGGAGTGAGGAAACCTTATCTCTCCTGCTTTTCCAGCTGTTGTCTTTGTGCTCTCTCTCTCTCTCTTTTTTTTTGGTTTTTTGTTTTTATATCCAGGATGATTTTATAAAGCATTTTTGTTTTTCTTTTCTAACGAAAGAAAACAGACGTGACAAATCTCAACATCCGTCCTGATGTGTCGCCGCGTTTCATCACGATTGGTCAAAGATGCGGGAAGAGGCTCCCGTCGCGTCGATGCTATTTTCCATTAAAAATACAAAGACGTACTCGATGAACGACGTCGGACACATGACAGGCGACAACAGCCTGGCTCGGTGAAGAGAAGAAGAGGAGGACGAGAGAGGGGGGCTCGACATCGACGGATGGACGCAAAGCAACCGCGGGTTTGTGCAATAATTTGCGCCTAATTATTGTTCGTGGCGGCTGATCGGGGAGCTGTTTTTGCCCCGTTCTCTCTGACATCCGTCCGTCCTTCCGTCCATCCATCCCGGAGCTGTAAGGCCTACAAAGCCCCGCATTATCTCTGGACATGAAACCCGTGGGAATTATGATACCGACGTGACGCACAGTCACACACACACACACACACACACACGCACACACCACAGCGCGGCGGGGAAGACATCGAGGGTGTGAGGTCCACACTGATCACAGGAAGGGGAGGACGCCCAGTTGTTGTTTGACAAATCGCGCTAATGACTGTTGTTTAGAGCCAAGAGGATTGGGCCCAACAAATATTTTTTATTATTTTTTTTATTTTTATTTTTTATTTTTTTTATTTTTAATGCACTGGAGGCAGCGGAGCGGGAGGCGGGCAGGAGAGTACAGCGGGTGAGGGAGCGGAGGGACGGGATGCGGGAGACGCAGTGAGCGCGGAGGAGGAGGAGAAGGAGGAGGAAGAAGCAGAAGAAGAGGGGAACCAGGAGGATTGACGGTAAGATATGAATACAGGCACCCCGCCCCTCACATTAGCTCCCATCCATCCTCATGCACAACTGCACATGTATGATGATGATGAACGCCCCGGAAGGCAAGAGAAGAGAAGAGGTAGTGCTGCTGCTGCTGCTGCTGCTGCTGCAGCCTGTGGCCATTTGATCAGTGACAAACACGCTTGAAACTCCTACCGCTGGCTGCCATTAAACCTGGGTCAGTAGTAGAGGAGAGCTGCTGTGTGAAATATTCATAGGCATGTGATTGGCCTCAGTGGGCGACACGCTTGACAAACTGGCAACCGTCTGTCCGAGCTGGCACATCAGAGAGCGAGGCTGCTGCGAGCCTTGATTCAAAATGTCCTGCATGGGGTTTTAAATGCTAATTCATGACGAACGAGGAGCAAAAAAAAAAAAAAAAAAAAAAAAAAGCCCAACGTGAGGAGGCCAGTATCAATATTTCAGAGCGGGAATGAGAAGACTGGGTCAGTAGGAGGAGGAGGAGGAGGAGGAGGCCAACCTGGAGAGGAAGAAAGAAAGAAAGATGATGAATGAAAGAGGAAGAGTCACGCTGTCAGAGTTTCGATTTTAGGAGAGATTCGACTTTTCCTGACACATTTTCACTCTGTTATAAACACAAAATGAGCTGCCGGTTCTTTCATAGAGGTAGAATTAGTCTCTAACCTTTATATGATTTTTTTTTTCATTTTGGGATCATTTTTTTTAAACATGTGCCTCAAAGTGAAGACCTGAAAATGCAGGGAGTTTGCAGTTTTGATGTATTTATTGACTAATGAAGGGGAAGAGGAAAAAGTTGGATTCTGTTTTATTTCACTCACAGACCAAGGGAGGAAAAACTGACTGATTCCTTCCTCTGGGTGACTGCTTCATGTTTCTACGATGATGTGGCAAAAACGAGGAGCTTGCCGCACACGACTGCTGATACGAAATCTCCACAATCTGTCTCGTTAGGATGCATATCGAGAGAGGGAGCAAAGATAACGAGGCTTGTTTCTCCATTTACATCAACTACAAGAGAAGAGAGCGATTTGTCTTAGAGCACACACACACACACACACACACACACACACACACACACACACACACACACACACACACACACACACACACTCAGAATATGAAATGTACCATTTAGTGGCTTTCTGCCTCAACCATCTCAAACAGGTTCCCGTCACGTCCCTTTGAATCGGTCAGACACAATGAGTCAGTCTCCCTGTTGCGCTGGGAGCTTTTTACGCATTCAGGCCTGCGAACGCTGTGCGGAGCTGTGGGCGGATGGATCAGCGCAATATCAATCTCGTGGTACTAGACTGGACATCGGCAGGGATTTCAGCAGGAATAGAGACACACGGACGCGGCTGATGATTTCATAGTTCCTGCTGAATTAGTGGAAAATGTGTTATATGCATAAAAAAAAGCAGAAAGGCTGGCTGCTGTTAACCCAGTGATGTCTGAATGTTTCGCATTCAGTCGACTGAAGGTCTGATCGTTGCCACAGACAGTCGATCGTTCGCTCCCCGGAAGCTTTTCCATGTTTTGTCATGTTACAGATTTCATTGTGTGGCATTGGGGTTTTTTGTGATACGAGGTGGAAGGAAAATCAGAGATGATTTTTACAATTATTTTTTTTTTTTACAAAAAAATCTGGAATGCGTGGTGTTCGTTTGTATTCACGGTTTCTAAGTAGAAACACCTTTCGCCAACGTTGCAGGTGCGACTCTTTTCGGGGTTTTATCTCTACCAGCTTTGCACATCAACAAACTCAAATTTTTGACAGTTTTTCTCTGATTCTCAAACGGATTTAGGCTTGGACTTTGACTGGGCCGTGCTAACCCGTGACTGTGCTTCGGTCTGAACGGTTCCTCTGTGGTTCTGGCTGCCTGTTTGGGCTGAACCTGCTGGGAGGTCAAGTGTGTGGGAGTCTCTTACTGTCAGCTATCTCACCATGGATGTGGTGTGTCCAGGGTCATGTATACCTGTTAGTTTTCTACCAAACAAAGAGCGGCTGCATGGTTTCATTTTGACCTCGCCTTTCCCACCTGAGCCGTGGCTCTTTGCAGCTCCTCCAGAGTTACAATGGACCTCTTGGCTGCTTTCGAATGAGGGGTACAGCAACGGATATGGGACTTAAACTGCTCTGAACTCCTCCGCGGCTTTATCCCGGACACGTTTAATTTATTCCTCGGTGTTTGTGTTTCATTATTGGAACAGATCTCCAAAGCCTTCACAGAGCATCTGGATTAATACTCAGATAATATTACGCATAACTGGACTCTACTTACAAATGAGCTGATTTCTGAAGACTTTTATTTAGTTGATTATCTCCTAAAACTAAAACTAAAACGCCAGCTAGCACAATCTTCTGCCACAGTAAAATATATAATTTGATCTGGATTCTTTTGTTCTTCCAATTAAAACGGGCAAGCTTAACGTGCAAGTACATGAATTTTCCTGAAAACCAGTTCCTTAACATATAGATTTTCTTAATTTCACGGGTTTTATTTAACCCAGTCCTGCTGCTCGGCTGTTTTTCTGCAGACCCTCCAGCCAAAAAGACTGCGACCGGCATGGTTTACATGTGTCACGTTTTGTTGCACTTCAGCACAATAATCCACTTTTCTGTCCAGAAGTCTGCTTTGACATGCTTGAGCAGATCATCAGTTCACAGGGCGACACAAAAGAGACAGCCCAGTCTAACAGAAAAACAGAAACGACCAAATCCTTTATGTGCACTTTTTTTTTTTTATTCAGGGCCCTAGATGTGTGGTTTGTGCTTACATCGGCATGACAGAGATGACAAGACATGACAGTGTTGTGCTTTAACACAAGCGTTACGCAAAAGAGAAAACAAAGAGGTTCTGTAAACATATTAACATGCCATTTCTGATTTTTATCTGAATGCGCCTCCTGCTAAGTAAAGCGCCGTAATGCAATATTGTTGGGTAGTTATGTTTTTATTAGCTGCATTTTGGCAACGTGAAACATTGTAGTGAGAAACATAAAAGCAGCTTATATACAAATGCCTTATCTTAATTAGTCCCTCCCTTTGTTTCGTGGTGGTAGAGCAGACAGTAGGACTGACCAAGGGGAGACCATTTGCTGCTGTTTCACATTTTAATGAAGAAGCTTCTGTTACCCAAAAAGAAAGCAGGGCCACGTTATATTAAAATATTAAGAGCTGAGACTCGATCTGGTTGTTCTTGTTTGACCTCAAATTGTTTTTACCTTAAAAAAAAAAAATCTGTCTCTCATTTAGAGTACGCCGTCTAAAACTGCTTTTTACAACAGCTGCACCAAGTGAATAAAATAAGAAGAATAAAATAATTGATAGGAATAGGTCAAATAAATAAGAAAAACAAGAAAAAAAAGCACATCTGGCTGACTAAACAATGTCCATTTAATAGCGATGAAGCACCTCATTTTGCTTGTCTGCCATCTGAAAAGTGCTTAAATCTGAAACCAAATCCCGTCTGGTTTTTCACCTCAAAGCATCTCTGGAGTTATAAATCACAAATTTGAGACTCTCGGTTTAATTATCGGTTTGTTCAGACGCAGGTGTGACGGCGTGTTGGGATTAGGAAACAAAGCTCCCTGATAAAGCCAACCGCAACACAAAAAAGGAAAAAGAAAACGGATTGAAATGAACTCCTCTGATACGTGATTTTACAGTAATTCGGCGATTGGAAAATGAAGAGCATGATAATCCACTGAATTACTTTGCTCCCTATTAAGGTAATCAGTTTGGTTAAATTGTATTCGTTGTAGTAAACTTTTATTTTGCTGTTGGGAAAAATGACTTTTCCTGTATATCTGAAGCCAGTTTACACTCATTGCCACCCCAGTAGCATAATTTCACAACAAAAACATTTAGAAAAATACAACTTTAATTTAAGTCCTTTTTTTTTCAGTGGGAAAAAAAACATCCCACATTTAGAATTTTATTTTTTCACGGAAAAAAATAATCACTAAAAGGTTGTAAGTAATTGCATAGGGACCCGTAATTAGTAACTCATGACTCCCTGTTTCCCAGGGGTATGAATATAGTGTGACACAGCAACCGCTTCAAGAAAAGGAAAGAGAACATTCATTTTCAGTAAAGCAGACGCACATTGATCTTTGTAACGCAGAAAGTAGCTGCAAGGAAGCAGCTACCCACCTCAGCCGGGGCAAGAATCGTTTCTTAACAAATGGAAACAGTGACACGGCGGGATGAGGACTCGTTTATCTGGGCACCACACACAGTGAGCGCGGTGGCTCAAAGGTCTCTGAAACCATAGCTGGTTCTGCAGCACCGAGTCTCCAAGCACTGCAAAAAAACTGAAACCGAGTTAAGCTCAAACATCTTGGATTAAGGAGGTTTGTGCTTGACAAGATACTTTTTCCCACTTAGAGGTTTTTATATGAGACGCACCGACCTGATATTAATATCTGTATCATCCTCAATTGAAAAAAAAAAAAAAAAGAAGTCTAGATCGGGTATTGGTGATGATTTTGCCCATCAGATGTATTCAGCCTCATTCTGTGGTTTGTGCTCTGAGCGACGTCACTCCTTATGTATTTCACTGTTCCTGTCCTAACCACACTGACTGAACAAAGTAAAGTTGTTTTTACATGTTTGAAGCTTGTGAAGCTACTCGTGTATTTAAGTGTGCCGTGCAGGTGCAGAGCTATCAAACACATTTATAATTCAGTACAGTCATGTCTGTCTTTAAAAACAGAAACAATCTAAGTCAATTCAGCACCGTTTCTGTATCGGATAGGCATCGGCGGTAACACTTTATTTGAAGGGGGGTGAATAAGACTGTCATGACACTGTCATAAACATGACATAACACCTTCATGAACATCAATAAGCCTTCATGAATATTTATGACTGTTGTCATAAAGCGTCATTCGGTAAATTATGACACTTTTAATACAAAGTAGACATTATTCAAAATGTCTTTGTTATGACAACTTGACATTAACCAGGAAATCATTACTG